AAACATATAAAGCAAAAATGATTCCTGTATTTTGAAGTCAATGGGAAGATGAACAAGTTAACCATCCTGTCTTGTCTATAATGAGGATGACATTGACTTTATATGAATCATAAACATTGTCTGTAAAATTTAATTGTTTTTGATGTTATCAAACTTTTTCTTTTAAAATAGAGTATTAAAATCTATTGAAATTCAGCTTTGATTAGGAAATTCCTCTTTTGAACTCTTCAAAGTTGTCAAATCAAATACTAGAGTCCAGCATTTGAAAATTCTTTTGATCCTCACCCCAAACCTGGTATCTGCTCTACATACTACCATTTTATTGCAATCAGAAAGCAATGTACAGTGAATGCAGATTTTTAATGAAAGGATAATAATGGACACAACTTATTTCAAATGATTTTATTTCATTTATATACTGTAGATTGGCAAATAATCACGGTGGTTTTAATTTCACTATGTTCGCGAATTAACATTTTTCCGCGAAATCAAATCCATCGTGAACGCTATCATTGGTTTTTACAAACGTTTAAGTGCGTATACAAAATTTAAATCAATTTCTTGCACCGTGAAATTTAGCTGCAGATCTGTAGCTCTCCGAAAAAATATATATTGATAGACCGGAGAGCTACAGTGCCACCCATTGAAAAAACTGTATATCTATTGCGCACAAAAAAGTGCGCTCGATTCTTGATTAATTTTTCCAAATTCTTACCTCGTGCAAAAAATCAAAGATTTCAAAAAATTACTCTCTCCTCTATCAAGTTCTCTCGTAGTTGACATCTGAACGAAGCATATTGGACCGAATTATCTTTGAAACCAAAATGGCAGTATAAATAAGCGAAATGTCCGATGATTGCAATATCAGGGCCAGGAGGACTATTAACAACAATTATGAGGAAAGTTTTGTTGTGGAAAGAGTCAAAGAATATGTTAGGAACACACGGTTAGTAATATTTTGAGATTACAGATTTAAAAACATGGAGAAATAAATCGAGAACCCAGCGCATTTTTTTGTGCGCAATAAATATACAGTTTTTTCAATGGGTGGCTCTGTAGCTCTCCGGTCTATCAATATTTTTTTGGAGAGCTACAGATCTGCAGCTACGTGAAATTAAAACCATCCCGACTGGTAATTCTTAAGAAATCGTGAAATTTTAACAGCGTGGAATTAAAACGACTTACAGTAAATATGACTCTTAAATTTGATAAACTTTCACTACAACTAAAGGATGCATATATTGATCTGGCTACGACATCATGCAAACCCACCTGGTTTTATACACAGGGATAGTAGGAGGGCAGTGATTGAGAAGGCTATATAAACTATCCAGGTAGTGTGACAACAAAATATGGACACATGTGAAATCTACATCCAAATTCCTTAGGACTAGAACAACGATCCTTTTACTTGATATACAGTTAAATATTTGCATCCCAAACCTTCATGTAATAAATACCATGAAGCAAGTTGGAAGTATCACTTCTAAGAAAGATATTGATGTTTGAGATGCAAACATTCAAATGATTTCTGAAAGTGTATGTATGCATCAAGAGCTAAGTAAAAATGTGGCTTTTTTTCTTTTATGCATTCAAAACTTCAGAAACTTGGTGTGAAGCAAATGTACAATTTGTGGGGCTACAGTAAAAAATAAAAATTCTAGCAATATTGTTTATTAAACAATGCACACATCTGCAGTGTACTCCAAAAGTGTTAAAGCTAACACCTACCTCTTTAGAATGAAATACAGTATATACATGTATAACCCTATTGTTTGGTTGAGTCTTTGCCTCCTCCCCCTCTCTCACCCTCTATTACCTATTGTTTTTAAGTCTATCCCCCCTACTCTCCGTAATGACTCACCCTACAAATGTCTGTCTCTGCTGGGGGCTACTGGTACTAGGGGTTTTCCGTATCGTAAGTGTACCACTATTTACAATAGGGTTGTCAGGGAACTTGATCAGTAACTTCTGGCCTCCACACTCTGCTCCCTAAATTAATTAAAATGAATAATTAAAACATTTTCTTATTTTCACTAAATCTGAGGAAGAGGCTCTCTCTTTAGCACTGACACAGAAATGTGAGGCATTTTTCCGAGTTGTTAACATCTTTCAGCTATGAATGATTTGTTTCTCACCTAAAGTTAAGTTTGAATAAACTATGATTTTGCATGAAAAAGATATATTTCTCCAAACATTTTACATGTAAGTTTTATCAATTTTCCCAGAAAATTCTCCATTCATAAATTCACCTGTAAATCGATCTTTTACACCTGAGAAATATGACAAATTTACCTGTAAACCGATCTTTTACACCAGAAAAATATAAAAAATTTACCTGTAAACTTTGCATGGCTTTCCCTGCAGCCTCCTTTGTTTTAAAATTTACAAAAGCACAAAATTTTTCTGGTCATATCAGATCCATATCTGATAGAAAAAAAAACTTAATGGGTTATTCTTTCTTCACATTAATAAATAACTTTATACCTGTAACTATAGTATTTCCAATTTCATACTCACCTAGAAATGATTTTCAAAAGTTTTTTATCGTCTACTTTATCTGGCAAAACATTTCCGACCCATAGTGCTGTTAGTCCCTCAGGATTACGTGGGCTAAAAATTAATAAACAATTTAACATAGATAAATGAGTTACGTGCTATATAATTGGTGTTAATTCATATAAATAAAAATACTATAGCTTTAACAAACATACTCCATCTTTGTGACGTCCTTCTGAGCTTGGGGTTTGGGGAGGGATGGAGTCGTAAAACCAGAATCGTCATCAGAAACGTAAACTTCACCCCCCCAGAGCATTCTCCGCTATAACCAGAACAAATAAACTTTAATTCATACTCGTACAACCCGAAACACTGTTTGAATCAAGACTTAGCTTTTAAAAGATTTGCTGAGTTACTTTATATCGGCAAGGAAGAGATGCAAATTATTTTTCAACATGAATTACAGTATTATTTTGCAAAAGACTTTTTTTCCTCAATTGCATTAAGGAAATCTTAAACAGTTTTTCGAGCTTATTTTTTGAGTAACTTTACATACTCGGCATGTGTTAGACTGATTTACAAAAATTAACAATGATTTGTTATTAACTGTACATACCGACACCTGCCAGAAGTGAATCTAGAGCAGCCTGTACCGTGGAATGCCTTTTTATCGCTTCTTCAGCTTGAGATCGAGAGAAACCCATTTCCTGAAATACATATCGTTTAGCATTAATAGCCATTCTCTGTAACCAGTTAATTTCTTTGCCATGTATGGTCACTAATTTTGATAAAGCTCCACCCATTCTTAGTACTTGACACCAAAAACATATATCAAAAAAATTTTGCTGTTGTGTGTCTCGACCAAATACCAATACACTTCCAACACCTTCCTATCATTTCAAATCTACTACATAAAGTAGGTTTAGTTTAATACTTACTGTTATTTGGTATATTCTAGCTCGTAAAAGTTCTTGTACCGCATCATCACAATTCTTGTCTAATTTCAAAACTTGTGTAAAGGCATCTTCTGCTTCAGAGAACATCTACAAACAAACGCACACACAGTTTTACAACATCAATTTCATTAAGGCAATCAAAACTGAATGTTTGACAATCCCCCATGATAACAACTCACTCTTAATCCAGCTAGTGCTCTCCCTTTTCTAAGATATCCTTTAAGCCAATCTTTTTTTAAGGAAACAGCTTTTTCAGCATCTTTTAAGGCCCTGCAAAATAAGACCACATTACAGAAACAACCTGTTTAAACGTTTTAAAATTTTTATGTTCGAGACAGCAGGTTGGAAGTTAAACTTCTCGTGAAAGCTCTCCTACCTATCATATTGGTTTGTTCGATCATAACAATAGGATCTATTTCCAAAAAATATGCAAAACATTAAAAACATAACTCGTTACTTAATCAGTTAGAACTGAGACTGAAAGAAAATCAAAATGATGTAAAAGTAAGCAAATCATAAAATGACAACATTTTGCCTGAGTATGGTTCTGAATAAATCAGAAATGTTCTTACCTAAAATCATTGGGATCTAATTTCATGGCTTCAGTAAACAGTTCTATAGCAGATTTATAATGACCTAATTGAGCCATTTCATTTCCTTTAACTGGAAAGAAAGAATCAAGTTGTAATCAACAAAGAAATGGACTACTACTGTAAAAGCACAAATATTCGTGGGGGATTAAATTTCGTTTATTTTGTTGTTAAAAAAATTCAACAAAATTAAATCCCACATGAAATTTTACGTGACTATATATTGAATAGGGGTAGTTTTAAAACAATGAAATTAAATGCATACAAAATTATTTTTGATGACAAAACAACAAAATTTTATGCCCACAAAAACTTATGCTTCTACAGTATTTGTATAGTTACTTAAGGATGTCCTGTGCTATCAAGATCTTCTTAAAATGTAGATGTACATACATGTGCTGTTTTAAAATGCTCTTCAATTACATTATTTACTGATAACATTAAAATTTACCGAAATGTTTTTGAAAGAAAAAAAAATCAGGCCATCTTACTTGCTAACTGTCTACTACGTAAAACGACGGGGTCTAAATCTTCCGTTTCATCGTCACTGTCATGTCTAGATCTCTCTCTTTTTCCACCTGATTCACTTCCTGATGTAGCTTTCTTTTTCTTATTAATGACTTTGGTAAAAAATGCTGAATTAGGATCAAAACCCTGAAATGTCATTTAAAATTTGGCATCATTGATTGTTCTATAAAGCAATTTAGAATGGAAAATTACATGAAAACTTTTCCTTGTTTGGTTTATTATTCTATAAAAACAATCTAGTTTCTAACTATCTATGCACTTTTCTCTCCTTTTATCATGCTTAAATTCTCTTGTTAGTGAAAATCTATTTTTGACCATCTTTGTTTGATAGTCATTCTGTTAATAAAGTGAACTGAAAGGTCTAAAGAGCTAAATCCACGAATGTGCTAAATCGGCCTAATGGTTTTAGAAAAAATAAAGTGAGGGAAAGAAGGAAATTATTTACGGAAATATTATCCTTAGGTATCAAACTTGAATAGTTCACGCCAAAATTTTCATTTGATGACGACATATTTGTGCAGAAAACGTCTAAACACGTGAACGTTGCCACTTTTTATCAAAATTTGGCATTTTTTTTTCGTCTTTGATTCAAATTTTTGCTGTGGCCACACCCTTTGAACAAAATAAAATTCACACCATTAAAAAGGAAATTTAAAAATGAACAAATAGAGTGTTGTCTTATTTTGTTCGAGGGGTGTGGCCACATCGAAATATTTAATTTTCGTTCGATTCAAATCTCTTCTCACCGACCACTAAAGAGGAGATAATGGGGGTTTTCCCATAGTAATTAAAAAGAAACAAGATTCTATGTTGCTTATATAAATTTTAATTAGTTTTTCAATGCAAATATACCATTTATTTTAAGTTATTTTGTGTTGTGGTGCAAAAAAAGTACGAGTCTCTCGGAGTCTCTATACGCATGACTTCATGAAGATGCAATAATGGTGACTCATTCCTAACCCAAGTCTTTTTAGTCAAGCGCAGTTGATCTAGGTTTAAATTACCATTGATTATGCTGAAATATTTTTTAAAAATGTATACTCTTTCCCCAAATCTTATTTATTTTACAAACAATGCATTCATGTTTCATCTCCCGATCCCGTCTCCTCGTCTCCATGGCCACTATGTAATCAAACGGAGATCACCCGGAAACTTTATTGTCACCAAGTCGGAAATTAATCCTAAAATATAGTTTTAACATAAACAATTACATCGGTAGCAACTACCAGGATGTATATATAAACTGAAAATTATTGTTTTACCCCTTTACAAAACACAAATTGTGTATGTCGTGAAGTCTGCATCGACTGGGGTCATAAATGATAAAAAATGATTTACGTTTGCTTGAGTCAAGATACAAGCGCACAAAGCCAAAGGCCCTATCCAAAACCAACATGCATTTCAGAAACTGCTGTTGGCATTTCAAGAAGACCGCTTAATTTTAAAAAGTTTATTATTAAAAATATTTTCCGATCCGAGACTTTATAACATATGTAGGCCTAACGAAGTATTGAACCTAGAAAATTCGAGTTGAAAATTCAAATAGATCCATTGAAATAAACAATTTGCGAAAATATATTGATTTTTGATCGCGTGTTATTTTTTTGATGGGCCTTTATTAGACTAATACAATGTACATTGTAAAAACGAATAACTTACTACACGTACCGAGATAGTGAAAGCTCTTTATGGTTGCAGGTAATTCCAGTCTCGCTTGCATGCCACATGAAAAAAAAGTCAAAGGGAGGCTACTTGTTTATTAAAGTTTATCTCCTCTGGATAAACTAGGTTAATTTGAGCACATAATTATTGACTATAGAAAGATAAACAACTCTTACTTGTCACATTTATACAACTGGGCATGCGCAAGGTAAACTTCCTTTTCCTGTTGAACAACAAAGCTGCTGGTACCAAAAATTTTAACTGAAGAAAATTACTTTCATCTAAGGCATCACGAAGAGAAAGTCAAAGTAAGTTTGTTTAATTAATGAGTTATTAATTAGGATCAATTACTTGAATGATTTATTTAAAAATTTAGGGTTTTAGTCACGATTTATCAGATTAAATTTTTGGAAAATGTTCTCGACCTTGCTCATAGGTCAGCCATGTTGTAAAAAAAAAAAAAATGATGAATGAGTCAGAGTAGAAAATTATTCAATTAACTTGACAGGGAAAAGTTTAGTTTAGTTGCAATAAATGGTGATATGTTTTGGTATTAAACAATCAAAAAATAAAAGAAAAATTGAAAAAAAAAATGACAGAGATTAGTTTAGTTGCTATGAATTGTAATTTGTGCTTGCATTATATTTAAATAAATAATAGGAATATTACAAAAAAGAAAAAAAATGATGAATGAATGGAATTAAAATGACATTTCTTTTGTTTTATGAGCCATGTTGAGAGCCAATAAAACCTGGGCATCGAAGGCCAAAAGCCCATATGCCCGCCCAGTATCTAGGACTTCTGCGGCACATAGTATTGTAGCCTCCACGGTGACCACCCAAGCATCCACAGTAGCGTCGACGTCCATTGACCCCATCATACCGACATCAGTCACCAGTCATTATTCCCAGGCAGCTATGTCAGTGCCAACAAGAACTTACATGGTCAGCCAAGAATCGCTTGTTCAATCAGTACCCTTACAGCCTGACTACGAGACTGCAGACATCCCAACTCCGGTTGTGCAGACTGTACCCACCCAACAGACAGTGGAGCCGAAGTTGCCTGTGCCAACAACTAGCACTACAGCAGGTATAAATTGCATGGTTGAAATAGATAGGCCTACACCTTTTCAGAGTGTAGCATCAATGCTTGGAGCTCATGTCTCTCAAACATCGAAGGAAAAAATTTGGAATAACGAGTATGTCGCTTTGAGTAAACTGTTGATCAAAGAGCCAGTTTCAGATATACAGCATCATATTGTTTATCTTGATGGTTTAATTCAGGTTAAACCTAAGTACAAAGATGAAAAAATTATGTCTATTTCACAATGGACTGATGCCTTTTTAATTTTTGCCTCAATTTACTGCGCCAAGCACTCTGCACAAGCTATAAATTTATTTCGTTATATGGCAACAATTAGAAAAGGTGCAGAGCGTTCACCTACGTCTTATGGTTGGAGGGATTATGACAGTTTAGGCTGAAAAAATCATTTGATTCAAATCTTAACTGGGGTTCGGTTGATGCTGAACTTTGGTTGTTTTATATGCAGCCCACTGTACAAAATTATAGTCAGAATCCCCCCAATCAATTTAAATGTTACTCTTACAATTTTCAGGGTGTTTGCGAAAAACACAATTGCAAGTTTTTGCATATTTGTGTGAAATGTAATGGTTCACATCCTTCTTTACATTGCAGATCTTCCCAGAATAACAATGTCAAACAATTCCCCCAGTCTAGGCCCACACAACAGCAGTTCCGCCCAAGATTCCCACAGCGAGCAATTCGACCTACACAATAAGTTATGGGATTTAGGCCATTCTCCAATTAAAACCAACAATCTTCACAAATTATTAATAAATTATCCTGACAGAAAAGTTGCCAACATATTAGGGCAGGGTTTTGAGAAAGGGTTTTTGTTAAATTATCAGGAGCCTAGAGTAAGGGTTGAATATAAAAATATGAAGTCTGCAATTCAACACTCTAGCAATCTAGAAGAAAAGATTAAGAAGGAAATTGGATTAGGTAGGGTTTTGGGTCCTTTTTCAGCCCCCCCCCCCCCCAATATCAAAGATATTTAAGATGTAGCCCAATAGGTTTATTACCTAAAAAACAAGGTGGATGGCGTATGATAACCAATCTTTCACATCCTTATGGTGATAGTGTTAACGATTACATAGATCAGCAAGATTGTACTGTCAGCTTTGCTTCGTTTGATGATGCAATTAACATAATTCAAAACAAAGGAAAAGGGGCCCTTATGGCAAAGATGGATATTTCTAGTGCATTTAGGCTTTTACCAATCAATCCTCAGGAATTTTGTCTGCTAGGTTTTAAGTTTAAAAATTCATATTATATAGACAAGTGTTTGCCAATGGGGTGTTCAGTATCTTGTTCACTGTTTGAAAAATTTTCATCATTTTTACATTTGGAATTAGAACAGAGGTCACAAAAGGATGGTATTGTTCATTACTTAGATGATTTCTTTCTTGCTGGATCAGCGAATTCTAGTGAATGCAGAGAATTAATGTATCATTTTCAAGAACTGAGTCAATTTTTAGGAGTTCCAATTGCACCAGAAAAAACTCAAGGTCCTTGTACAAAATTAACATTTTTAGGGTTAGGAATAGATTCGGTTGAAGAGACAATTTTTGTTCCAAAAGAAAAAGT